CACTACTCTCACTGATGCTGGTGCCACACGCCACTCCAGGTGCCGGGGACACAGCAGTGCATACAGCCTCTACACTCACACTCGGTGACGCTGGTGCCACACGCCACTCCAGGTGCCGGGGACACAGCAGTGCATACAGCCTCTACACTCACACTCGGTGACGCTGGTGCCACATGCCACTCCAGGTGCCGGGGACACAGCCTCTTTACTCACATTCAGTGACATTGTGTAAATAGCTGATTGTAGTTAGTGCATCTGGAGCAATTGTTCTCAGTCATCTGCCTAAACTAGTCTTAAAAATCTATAGCTCACAAATCCTTTGCATGAATTCAAAGAATCATTAGCTTCCTGGGAGTGGTTTTACTTTTGTATAGACTACTTAAGTGACTCATACTTCAAATAATCAAATTTGCATTAACTTCCAAGAAGCTACCATTTATTGGTAGATTCACAGATAGTTGTGAGATAGTCTCACCAGAAGGTCTCATAGTGGTGGCCATGAGTCTAACTATGGTCTAAAGCTCAGCTCAGCATCAGATGTGTGTTCTTTAGACATTCTTTTAGCTAGTGTTTTTCAAGCAGCATTATCATTTGTGAGCAATCTTCTATTGAACCTCTATGATATATTAAATATATTGAACTTGCACTTAACAATAACCATCTCTAATTTGAAAACCACCTTTCCTTATAAATGAGGCATTGGAGGCCAGAAGAAGTTAAGCTGCTTGCCCAAGACCACACAAGTGATTTGATCTTGGGTTTTCTTAACCATACATTCCTGGCTTTTTTTAAATTTTATTTTTATTTTATTTCAGAATACTAGGGTGGATGTAATGTTTGTGTGCAGTTTGAAGTAATTTAACATAGTAAATTGCACGTGAACTTTATGTCCACTCACTCTGTGGGGGGTTTACATATTCTGTTTACATTGTTTTTGCACAGATTGAGTCAAAGCGATAAGGTGCGTCTTTGCTCAGATAGTGTGCACCGTGTGACTCTGCCCATCCCTCTGGCCCCTGCTCCTGACTTTATTTTGGAAGCTCCATGTGTGCACCTCTTAGTTCCAACTTGGTATCGAGTGCATGTTTTTTCTCTGTTCTCATGATGTCTCATTTAGAAGAATGGTTGCCAATTCCGTCCAAGTTGTCACAAAAGACATTGTACACCTTTTTTCAAGACAAAATAGTACTCTATAGTATGTACACATTTTATTAATCTCTTCATGGACTGGTGAGTGCCGGACCATTATTGCGTCGTTGCGCCTATAAATTGCGCTGCTGTAAACAGTCAGCGCCGGTTTCCCTTTTATAAAATGACCTTTTTTTCTTTGGATACATACCCAGCAGTGGGATCGCTGGGCCAAACGACAGTCTCCTTTACGGTGGTGGTGGTGTCTCCACACACCTTTCCGAGAGGCTGCAGGTTGGCAACGCGCCTGCCCGCAGCGCCAGCTGTTTCCCGATGCGCTGCAAAGCTTGTCGGAGATGCACAGTGCACCTGTTCTTCTGTGTTCTGCAGATAAATTTTAGGAACTCCTTTTTGCCCTACATTTCAGCATAAATGCTGAATAATAACAAAAATTTGAGTAAAGTGCACTGTCATCCTTGCCACCCTCTCGTGAGGACTCTTCTGGTCAGGGTCTGGTGGTACAGCCTTGCCGGGGCCTCGCTTCCCAGGTGAAGAAGAGGAGCCGAGGTCGAGCTGGAGGCTGCGACTGCGTGGGCTGCTGGGCTGAGCTGCCCAGTGACAAAGCTGGAAGGACGGAGGTATTTCTGCAGCGAGTTCTTCAGCCCTGTGCGCTTCCCAGGAGAGGGTGCGTCTCTGTGGGGGGGTGCGCACAGCCTGGTGGTCTGCTGGTTCTCAGGGAGCCCGCGGGACCAAGCCCCACGCGACTTAGACCTGCATTGCTTTCCCGCCACCTCCGCCAACCCTGTGTAAGCAGTTGAGTCCTTGAGGACTGAAGAACAGCTGTCCTTTGGAAAAAATAAAATGGAAATCATACTTTTAAAAAGACCTCCTTTCTCTCCACATCCACGCCAGCATCTGTTGATCGGGACTTCTAATAGGAGCCATGCGTTTTGGAGTTGGTTATCTCTCATTGTGGTTTTGATTTGCATCTCTGTAATGATTAAAGATATTGAACATTTTCTCATGAGTTTGTTGGCTGTTAGTATATCCTCATTTTGAAAGTTTCTGTTCATGTCTTTTGCCCACTTTTTAGTGGGATGGTTTAGTTGTTTCTTGCTGAGTTGCTTGAATTCTTTGTACATTCTGGTTATCAGCCCTTTATCAGCTGTAAAGCCTGTGAATATTTTCTGTGGATTGTCTGTGTGCTCTTTTAATTGTGTCCTTGGCTGTGCAGAAGCCATTTAGTTTGATCAGGTCCCATTTGTTTATTTTTTCTTGTTGTTATGATTGCTTTTGGAGTCTTCATGAATTCTTTGCATAGGCCAATAGGTACAAGAATTTTTCCAAAATATTCTTATATGATTCTTACAGTTTCCTGCTGTAGGTTTAAGTCTTATATCCATCATGAGTTGATTTTTGTGAATGGTGAGGGTCTTGTGTCAGTCTTTGTTATGTAGCCAACCAGTTTTTCCAGCACTATTTAGTGAACAGAAATTCTTTTTCCTGTGTGTTTTTATCTGTTTTGTCAGGAATCAGATGGGAGTAGAGGATGGTCTTATGGCTCTCTGTTCTGATCTCTGTCTCTGTTTTCGTGCCAGTTCCCTGCTGTTCTGGTTACTATAGTAAAGTCCGCTTTGTTCTGATTATGTTAGGTTGTCTGGGCTATTCAGGAACTTTCCTGGTTCCTTATGAAGTATAGACCTAATTTTTCTACATCTGCAAAAAATCGCATTGGTATTTTAGTGAGAATTGCATTAAGTCTGTACATCACTTTGGATAGTTTAGCCATTTTACCACTGTTGATTCTGCTGATCCCTGAGTGTGATATGTTTTCCCATCTGTTCACATCCTCTGCAGTTTTTTCCTCAGTGTTTCATAATTTTCCCTATAGAGGTCTTTCACCTCCTTTGTTAACTATGTTCCAAGGTATTTTATTTTCTTTGTTGATCCTGAGAAAGGAACTATGTCTTTGATTTGATTCTCAGCTTGACTATTGTTGGCATATATGAAGGCTACTTTGTGTATACTTTTTTTGGTAACTTGATACTGACCTGAATTTATTTATCAATCCCAGGAGTTTCTTGGTTGAATTTGGGGGGCTTTCTAGATATGAGATCTTGTCATCAGCAAAGAAGAATAATTTAGCCTCTTCTTTCCCCATCTGAAGACCCTTGACTTCTTTCCATTGCTCTGGCTAAGACTTCCATCCAGCACTATACTGAACAGAAAATGCAAAAGCAAGGACCATGTGATTCTTTCAGTAGACACAGAAAAAGCAGCAAGATTCAGCACTCTTTTATGATAACACTTAACAAAATAGGCTAGACGGAATTTGCCTCAGAATATAAAGGCCACAGCTAGCATCATATTGAATGGGAAAGAATTGAAAGCATTCACACTTAGAACTAGACCAGACTAGTCTCCTCCTTCCTACTGTTAACAGAAGGTCTTCCTTGAGCTAAGCGCTTAGTGTGATCAATGAACACAATAGGAGCACAGGAGCATGGACTGACAGAGAAGGTTCAGTACTGGGTCACGTAGACAGGAACGTGGTGCTGGAACAAGGCTAATAAGTTTTCTTTTCTTTTCTTTTCTTTTGTATTTGTTTTATAATTGATGAAGGCTTCTGAAATTGCAAAATCATATATTTTTTTTTAAGTGAAAAGGCTATATTTTTTTATTACACCTCCTGAACATGTTGAGATTAAGATTATAAAAATGTTGTGATTAAAATTTATCCCGAAGTGTGACTACTTTAAAGTAGTTAATTCAAAATAAGAAACAATTTATGCTAAAGTTAGAGTAGGTACTTTGTTGTTGGCTTTAATTGCGGGTTTTCCTCCAGGTCACTGTTCATCATGCTAGACAGCCTCAACAGCCTCGACGGCTCTGCCAGCTCCGTGGGACAGGCCTGGCTGAACCAGGTCCTGCAGAGACACGACATTGCCAGGGTTCTGGAGCCACTGCTGCTGCTCCTGCTTCACCCAAAGACACAGAGGGTTTCTGTGCAGCGTGTACAAGCAGAGCGCTGTTGGAATAAGGCTCCTTGTCACCCAGGAGGGGAGAGTGACAAGCACAGCATGCACGACTTTGCCTGCAGTGGTGGTGAGTGTCACGTGGCCACGGAGCAGCTTCATTTAGAACCAGGTGGTTGAGATGCAGTGAGACCAGAGCACAGCAGAGAGTGACAGGAGAGCTGCCTGTGAGCTTTCTTGGCGGGCTCGTTTTCTTCCCTCCTCACGTACTAGCAGTGCCACGTGGGCCACGTCTTGCTCCACCAGTGAGCTCAGAGGACCTGGAGCTCCCTGATCAGTTGGCTCCTTCAGAGGAGGAATCAGCACCTTGTTCAGTTTCCATGCAGATACCTTTAGAGCTTATTAGCACTCGCGCTCCCTCGGGACTCCGTGTGCTTCCCTAGGAATTTATAGTAAGCCTGTAACACACATTTTATATTTGATGAGTCATTTTCCTCATCTGTAAAATGAGGATAATGATACCCACCTCTCAAGGCTTTGTTAGGACCATTAGATGCAATTGTATTATTAACATGCATCATGTTCACCTGGCTCGGCACCTGTAGCTCAGCGGCTAGGGCACCAGCCACATACACCAGAGCTGGTGGGTTCAAATCC